TTATCAGAGCTTAATCCTTGTGGGTCTGATCTGATTTTAACCTCTTATTTCAGTCTTCTGACTCATTTTGGCTATATGGTTATAGCCATACCAATTCATTTGAGTATGTATAATTCTGTATGTGTGTGTCTGTGAGTGTAAGTACAGAAAGTGTGTGTGTGAGCGGATGTATCAGTTTTACACTCTTGATGTTTTAGAGTGTAAACTCTTCCTTGCTGTTTACTTTTTTACTGCATTGTAGTTGAATTATTGATTTTGTTTTACATAGTTGCAGTGTTACAGTCACACCAGTTCATAGGTGTGTGTGTCCGCGCGTGTGTGAGTTGGTGTGTTGATTTTGCACTCTAGATGTTTTAGAGTTTCACCCCTTCATTGCTGTGCAATTTTATTCTGCATTGTGGGGGATTTGTAGATTTTACACACAAAAATTTTCTGTATTTTCGATTTTTTTCCCCCGATTTCCCATTCATTTCCTATGGTCGGTCATTTGTGACTGTAGACCATGAGTGTGACTATTTGTTTTATGACCACTTAGCTTTTTCGAATCATGCCCTCAATTTTTTTTGTGTTCACATACCAAGTGCCATGAAAGTCTCCAAGTTTCGTACCATTCTGGTGAAGCTATGATTTAAAAAAATTCCAAATGTAAAATTCTCCGGTCAGAAGTGACTGAAGACCCGTCATCAAGGTCTTCGGGAATGGTCCAGGAGGTGGGATTCGAACTCGGGGAACCAGAAGCGCAATTGTGCCACGGCGACGAACTAAAATTCGTCGGCGAACTAAAAGTTAGTAAAGCTGTCACGCGATCCTTACATAGGCCTACCTATCTTATGAAACTTTAAAAAAGTTACATCAGACAAATTTAGCCTCTTTTATGTTAAAGAAGTGAAGATTTGACATAATCAAAATGTGTTATGATTTCAATTAATTAAAAAAAAAGTTAATATACAGTAACTGCCATTAATGGGGAAAAACAAACTAGATTTGTGCCAAGCCTCGAAAGTTTACAATGACTGGCATCGCCTCTAGTTTTGACTACTTTTTGTATCTGGAATTATTATATCTCTCGGTAAGGATAAGGAAATTTAAATAAATTCTTTTAGATGAGCCTTATTGATTAATTTTGCCTGGGGCCCCCATTTGCCTCTAAATAATTTATGTGGTTGAGCAAGCTCCAAAAGCCTGATACATCGTTATGTCGTTACATCATTACATACAAATGACAATGAGCGAGTCAT